TTGTGTTTATGTGATTCTGTGTTTATAATTAGTTTAATTACAGTATTACTTTTGTGTACATGTTTATGTGTACTAACTCAAGTAAATAACAAAAAAAGGTACTCAGGATTTACAACCCACCAGGTCAATCGATAATCGCAAAAAAACATCTGTATATAAAAATGAAAAAAAAAATACATTGTAATAAATCTATCTAATATTATTTGTAAAGATTTCCTTAAAGAGTGACGAAAATTGGCATTTGAATAAGTAATTAATACCAATAATTGTGTACATTTCACATCTATACAAGTTCAAATCAATTAACAAAAAAAAAAACTTTTCATATATTTTGAGCTATACTAGATGGCGTTAAGTGTATTCTTACATGGCACTGTTTTGGTCAAAGTTAAGTTTTAAAAATAAAATGTTGTAAGAACTCTAAGCTTCCTCTACTAGATGGCGTGGTCTAAACTAAGCTGCGCTATCGCTTGGTGCAAAGAATATTACTTCAGCTTTGAGTTTTTCTTTCCATCTGTCATTTCAAATTAGCTTAAAGCTATTTGATTTAAAGTTTTCAAATAGAAAGGGCTGAAATATAGTGGACATTAGACAGTGTAAATAATGCTTTATTATTTTCTATTCTGACTTAATTTATCTGTATTATATAATATTTTGTATTTCATAATTTTTAGCAATGTTGTGTATAACAGTTGTTGGCTATTACTTTTTTTTATGGGATGGGGGCAGACGAACAGACGGATCACCTGATGGTAAGTGATTACCGTCGTCCATGGACACCTGCAACACCAGAGGGGCTACAAGCGCGCTGCCGGTCTTTGACGGGCGAATATGCTCTACGCTTGAAAGTTTGAAGGTCGTATCGGTCCGGAAATACCGCTGGCGACAAACTGTTCTAGAGTTTGACTGTGCGAGGCAGGAAACTTATAGAAAAACGCACAGTTAAGGACTTCCAACCATTCAAATGATGGGCGTGGATTTACGCCTTATATTGTATAAGGCAATTTTAATAATTGTTTATTGCCATTTTAAAACAAAATAATTATTTGTATAGCTGTTGCTTTACCTTACATAAATAAATTTAGCTTTTTGTGGTAAAATTTTTACACTTGAACATCAAGGTAATTTTATTCTAATATCGCGAATATTTTGCTATTAATAAAATCAGTAATAGTGTATTGTATCCTCATCCTTAACTGTTAACTAGTATCCTGGTTAAGGACGTTGTCATGATTACTTAGTTGATCGACGTTTAGCTGTGCAAATAAATAGCGCTATTCAACTAAAGGGCTAGCCGCCAAATGGACGGATGTTTTACCCAGCTACAACCACACAACATAGAAGAGTTGTGTTCTGTTGCTACAACATATACACCATAAACTTACCTTAATGTTTTTTCTCTATTTTACACAAGATCTCTTCAAATCGAAAAACCAAAACACGCTGTCAGTTTAAAAGTCGACTAAGCAGTTGTTATTTATACGCCAGTAAAATCAATGAATACTAATATTAATAATACAGGCGAAAAGTACTTTTCAGTATGACGACTTTGTATGAAACAGAAACTATCACAGCGTCGAACACAGAGGTAATTTAACAAAAAATAAATTATAACCTTTTGAAGTAGGTTTTGTTTGATCGAACCTCTAATTCAGACGCAGCGCTGAGTTCCACGTTTTGTTTATAACAGAATATCACTGCTGGTCCTACTGAACACGTGACCATTGATTTTTTGATGAAGCTGAAGCTCTTTGGCTATTGATGTAGAAAGATGAAGATATGCCCCAAATAATTGATGAATACCTCCCCATTCTTGTTTTACAGAATTTGTCTTTAAGCAATTTATATGAAAAGAACATGAAGGGCGAAAATCAGTGTATCATACGTAGACAGTTCCAATGAAGTTTGAATCCAAGGTTTGGGGATTTCACATTTCCTTTTCATCCTTCCCAATTCTATGAAGTCAGTATACAAAACGTATTAGTACCTAATTGTTTATTAACTTGTTACAGAAACGACTCGGATTTCCAAGGACGAAAATGTTTACAGGTAACTACGACTATTGGAACAATTATGTTCAGTAACGACTCGGTGATTGTAAACTGTTTGCTTGTGCGGATTGGTGATGTAACCAGCTTACAGGACCACACGTCCCGACAGTTCAGAGCAGAGCCGATGATTTGTATAAATAATTCCGGTTCTTTGGCAGCAACTGGCCAATCAAATTACTTCACTTTGTTAGTTGATTGCACGGTTACATGGAGTGATGCGTTCAAGGACATGGCAATATTGAATGGAGAATACCTATTTTAGATTTTTATATTACGAATCATTTCACGTCAATTCACTTGATTTTTCCATATATTTTCCATAATGTTTATAAGCTTTGTAACACACGTCTGGTGTTGAAAAATAATACTATCTACTTAGAAAACATATTTTTATTGCTTGATGTATTTTAGTAACATCAAGTTTTAAGAACAACGATCAACTAACGGATTTTTTAAATCCACAATAATAATAAGTGATATTGACATAGTATGAGAAACGTTAAGGAGCAGTGGCGGACTAACCTCATCGGAGGCCCTATAGATTACTGCTATCGTTTTCAATTGGATATTTCTATATTTAATAAGTAGCTCTTGCTGAGTTTCTGGAGTTTATAACAACCTTGTCTGAAATCGAATGTTATTGATCAAAGACGTACTTTCCTTGGTAAATAGGACCCTATTCAGGGTGTCATTGTCACTGTAACTAATAGATATCGCGATCACGTGTTGAGTGCGGGATATTTAATTGACACATACATAGTACTATTTTTATTGGCAGTCACTGGTATTAGAACTGCATAATTGACTGTTGACTTTCATTGGATAGTCATTCCGCCTCAGGGGAGACCTCCGGTACCCTCGAAACCGGATCCCAGATTCTCCCCCACGTGAGACAAATCCAAGGCGGATTGTATACGGTACGCCAATCATACTTTGATCTTGCTCTTGAGGCAAGTCCAAGTGTCCAAGCGATTGATCTGCTAATCCGTAGCATAAGGTGCATAACACTTGCCTTATCAATGGACCTTCATAGAATATAAGTCCCGCACACTGTAATTTCTAACAACTTATCGACTTATCTTTAATAAATATAATACCATATCCAAAGATTATTCGTGAAGGTGTCGCAAGTGCAATGAACAACGTTCGACGCGCGGCTCTATCCGTAATTAATTTAAACTGAGTCCGTTCGAACAGAAAGTAGGTTCGCTATTAAAAACCCTGTTAGATTGCATCTCTGTTTGTTGTTTCAACTGCACTCATAGTTAGATGGACTGAGCATCATGATACATATGCCAAAACCACAGACATTACATAAGTATGTATCTAGTTTAAATCGTTAAGTGTTAAATGAAAATAAACTCGGTGATATAATGATCGGTATAACGATGATGTGATGTATAGCTTGGTTTATACGATATTTAAATTAACTCCCATTCTCATCAATTCCAAAGTAAATGACCGTTCATGTGAAGTCTCAGATTATAATAACTTATTATTATTGACTGTAGTAATAAAATCAAAAAGATAAATTGGCAAAAAATTATAAACAATAACGGTGACAAAAAAACCTATGAAACTAAAAACACAGTACATATGTATAACTAAAGAAAACATTCCATATCTTACCTAGGGATAAAACGATACCACCTAGGTATCAATACTTTTACTCTATACCGTACCGGGCATCCCTAACCTTACCTATATTCGTAAACGAAAGTCATCCTCATCTTTTCATTCTCTGTGGATATCATTTTAAACTCTTCCCAAAATACGTTATGAAATTCCTTTAGTAAGCATAAATTATTCTGAGTTCACTTATTAATCATCTCTGCAATTCCAAGGATTGTCATCACTATCAGTGGTACTCTTACACCCGTAGGACTAATGAAACTTTTATAATCATCGTTATTATATAAAAAAAAGAGTCGATATATGGTTTGCACACTCTTTCCCTTTCAATTGTACGATTAACATTTGTTATTCAGACTCCTGACGCTTTATTGTTAGCAATATGGTAGAGAAAATATAAAGGTAAGTATTTATCATTATAAATAACACTGCAGTAGAAGTATATTTTACTGGTAAATTCTATATCACTTACGTTTGACTTGCAGCTAGAAAGTCAAGTTAACTTGCCACTGTACTTGTTAAAATGTAAATCAAACGTACCTAAGCGATAGAAGCAAACAAAAACTTAATCTGGATAGGCTGTAACGCATTCAGCAAACAGTACATTTTTCAACTAACTCAAATCTGCCTTTTGATGGGGTTCAACCTTTTTCTAAAACTTTTCTTCTTCTTGATATGCCACTCATATCGGAGATAGGACAACATCATGGTAATATTTTTTTATTGAGGCTGCTGCTATAGCCAAGAGTGTAGTGCTCCGACCAAGCCGATTTCTTAAGTTCTTGAACCAGTAATTTCGCCTTTTCCAGCATTGCGTTTCTCTATCATTAAAAAAAATTAGATGAAGAACTGGTTGTAATTGAGTTTACACCATAATTAGTAACAAAGGGTTGTCATTGAACTGGTATTCACTTTTCATAATAACCGTAACTTAGCACCGTTGCCCTGAGTAGGTTATATGTTCAAAGGGAATGTCTTTTTTTAAAGAAATGTTACCATTCGAACAAAAAAGTCGCTTAACCTGCACAATTACACATCTACTTACGATTTGGGATAAGATAGTTTCAAATGGTAGAAAATCTAGACACATAATTTTTACATTATTTAGCAATTCATCATACTTATTATTTTGTTCTGTCAAAAATTCAAACAAACTGAACCTACCTACCACTCGTTCAGGACGCGTTTAGCTTATAAGAAGAACCAGCGAAAGATGCTTTTCTTTCCATTACTTCTGACACTTGTTTAAAATTTGTTATTTTATTAGGAAATTTTGGCTACAGGCATTAACTAAACAAAGAATGTACTATTTGATATCTACTCGGGATCCAATAAATTTATATTACTAGTATCATTACAATCTGCAATTTTATGGATACAATCCTTTATGTTACTAAAGCCGTAGTTTCTTCTTCTATATTTGTTGTAAATGTCGTTCCAAAAGCGCATAGCAGACTCATCCCATAATGTTGCAATACTAAAAAGATTATCTATCACGAGAGCAGAAGGATTCGAATCCCTACTAGAAAGCCACTTAACCGGAAGTAACTCTGACGTCACTGGTGTCGGGTCACTGAAAAAAGAAAAGTTTAAAATGAACAATTCAATTTGATAATTAACATGCACTACTAAATTAGGAAACTCTGATTTAATGGGAACCAACAGAATATTCTTATTCAAAATTTATAGTATAACCTGTACATAGTCTTACGGAATTGACAGTTATTCCACTACCTATAACCCTGTCACTAAACCTCTACTCAATTATGACACAAAATATGATCAATAAAATACAAAGTAAAAATCACAAAATCACTACCTACCTGTATTTGGCGAAGTTGGTCCACATGGTCAACATACGTTTGCGCATTACATTTTCTAACCATCGTTCAGGGTATGGCAGTATATAAGATCGGTGTGTATAGAAGACCTCATCGCCATGCGATGCACCAACCACGCCAGCGTTATTGGACGAAAACTTTGCCAGGTTCATATACCCGCTGTATTTAAAAAAATAGTAAAATATAGGTTCTTCCATTGCTTGAGAGAAGAGATTCGTTTCAACATACATAGGAAACTTGAAATGCAAGTCTGAATATAAATCGACCATGTTCATTACAAGCTCTTCTTCCCCAGAAGAGAAATAAAATTGCCGTATTTCTTGTGCGGTCCTATTCTTATCTGCCTCACTAGGAAATACCAAATCGTTTTTCGTGAGATCTGCTGTGTCCACTTCTTTGACACTAGTCCCAAAGTCTCTTGCTACGGAATAAATACCTTCTTTATCATTGTTGCCAACCATCATCGGCACTTTTGTAAAATTTCCTGATTTTAATATATCTAAAGGAAAACGTGTAATTATTGGCTCCATGCTATCAATCTCTCTCTCAACGCATGGTGTAAATAAAATATCCGCCATTATATTATTCTTCCTTTCAGAATATTTAATTGCTTTTATCAACTCAAAAGGCGATCTTTTGGAAATTATTTCATAAAGTTCGTAAGGATCTTTTGTGTCATATCCCTTTGACAAGATCGCTCGCTGTCGCTATAGGGTCATGTTGTATAGACCAGGGCGTCACAGAAGACCCACTCTGCAAGATAACCTTGTGGAAGAGTCCTTTGGCTGCAGGAGATACTATCAAATAGGACACCGACGCGGCACCAGCACTTTCACCAAACACGGTAACTTTATCTGGATCGCCTCCGAATGCCTTGATATTGTTTTTTATCCATTTCAGAGCTGCTATTTGGTCTCGGAGCCCCGTATTTCCAGGAGCTTCTTTTATACCTAAGCACAGGAAGCCTTCCACACTAAGTCTGTAATTAATTCCCACGAATACTACACCGTGCTCGGTGAAATAGTCTCCCCCATAAAGATAACGTGTACCAGAGCCTTCGTAAAAGCAACCGCCGTGGATATACACCATGACGGGGAGTAATCCTTCAGACATAGCAGTAACAGGCGTATAAATGTTGAGCTTCAGACAATTGGAATCGAATCCTACGAGAACTTCTGACCCAAGGAGTTTCTGAGGACACCAAGTGTTTTCGTTGACAGCATCGTATCCTTTACCTCCTCCATGATGGAGGAGGTAAAGGAGCCTGCAAAATTACATAAGTATACAGTAATTACATAAGTATAAGTATCCTTCCAACATTGAAAGTGAAGATATAGTAAAAAGAAATGCAAGTACAAAGATCTTTACCGTAAATCGATTGCTTTTATCGACTGTCCCGTATGGTACACCAAAATACTGGTAGAAGGTCCCACCCGGATCTAATCGACCCCTTAACAGACCACTGGAGACCCTCACCACAGGAGAAGGTATTTGGACTAACGCGGTCGCGATGAGCGTCGTCAGAGCCACCCACTTCATCACTGACATTTATTCAGCCATGTCACGTATGCTAGCTATAAATATTTTTATCTTTTTGAACGTGTATAACGTTACAATCAGTAAACATTTCGGAGTATGTTATTTAACCTATTGACATTAACTTTGACAAAGGAATGTAGTTAAAATTTCGAATGTTTGTTTTTCTTATTTCGTCTTCATTTGCGATAGCTGATGAATTTGAATTTTATTATTTTTCTCATGGTTTGTTGACTTATAAATGCACATTTTTTACAACAGAAAGATCAGTTTGAAAGACACTATGAGTGACGTGTTCATTATCATTAGCAAGGAAATACACAAACATGTAGGTATCGCGCTTACTCAATTCACTCACAAGATGACGGATAACTAATATTAGAAGGTCGAGATTTTTTTCTGTATGAAATAAAACAGGGACAAAGAGTTTCTTGCCGTTTCTTCTCTGTACGAGTTCTCCTGCCGTAGATTTGCGATCCGTTGGCGTAGTTTCCGACATTCACAAATGTTTGTAACGGCCTAGACTGAATAAATGATATTGAAATTGAATTGAGACAGAAAGTAGAGGATTCCATACGCCAAATATTGAGTGTATTGGAAAAAGTCTTTCTCCAAAACTGACTGATAAATATAATATCAAATATAATCTTAAAAGGTCGAGATGTAGTCCATGGTATTTTCACAAAATGTTCAAACAAAACTCCTCGGCAGTTACTAAGTGTTATTTTCATGAGAATTTCCAAATTAAGGGCTATCGCATTGTAAACATTGAACTTTGTACCCGGTTTTATATAACAATATAGATGTGTGTTTAGAATCTGAAAGGGTACGGTTACGCATTCGTTGTAACCAGCCTAACCAAACACGGAAGCCTTTTATTACGCTGCACCAAATTTATAATGGATCTATTTACATTTCACCCTGAAATGAGTTAGGTATACAAAACCTAGAGAAGCATATAAATAAACTCAATTAATAATTAGACATATAAGTGGTTAGATTAGAGTCTGTCTCGCCTGCCAGTGGATGATCTACTCAATTTTATGATTATATTTTAACAAACACGCTCTTGTACACATATAGAAAGCTACGTGTCTGTAAAGTCCTACTATATTTAGTTACAAAATGTTGGCTTACCATTTGTTCTAAATACTCTTTTAAAAGTTTTGGTAGTTTCAAAGCTTATTTGCAACAAACAAGTAAATCCATAAAATATTTCGCCTTATAATATTAGTGTAGATGATAAGCGAAAACATTTCACTTTAATAAAAGATTTCCAAGTGTTGTTTACGATAATACTCGGCCACTACTACACTACACATTTAAATTGTTTTACCACATATAGTAACCACTTGCACCAAGTCGTTCAAACAATGACATTAACCGACAATCATCAATATCTGTTGATAATAAGGAATAGAGTGCTGACGGCGCTTGATGGGTAATAAGTTAATTTGAAGGTAGCGATAAGGTAAGTTGTAACCTCACGGTTATACTCAAACTCTTCACTAGTGGTTCATAGCCTTTCAGTTGGTACGGGACCATTTAACAAAATCCTATAACACCATGTACCACGTTAATAGGCTGGTATTTACGATATTCAGGTGACATCTGGATTCTGAACGCGGTGGGAGATATACTCCACAACTCATTCACACTCACTGTAAAGGCAGTTGCTTACTCTGTTCTTTTCGGTTGAACTATGCTCTTAGATGTGTAGTTTTCTAAGGCTATGCTAGTCTTTTAAAAAACAGCCTCGAACTCGGCGTCGAACACAGCGCTGTGGCAGCATAGCTTCAATTAAATAAAACCTTTATTATCCTTAAGACTTTTTTTTATTCAACATCTATGCTGAGACAGCGCTTTGCTCAATGTCGAGTCCTAGGCTGATTTATTTCAGAACAGCACTGCTGACTCCAATGAAATTGACAAAATATCAAAAATTAGTTTTAGGATTAACTAAAAAGGCCATAGGGGCCATTATATGGCCATAGGCCATATATAGATAATGCTATCCTGTGCACTGTCAGGAATTTTACTTTTCTCTATTCCGGACCGGTTTTTTCAGGTTCGTGATGGCGGCAATGAAGAACGTGTTTAAGCTTGTGCACTGCTGTGTCCGCGATCCGGAAAATTCATAAGGAATAGTCTTGGGAAAATATAATAAAATTTGTCTATAATCGATATTTATTTCGGCGATATTGTTAATTTCCAATAAACTTATAATCGATATTTATTGTTAATTATAAAATGCTATATTTTATATTATGATTTAATATAGTTGTAATTTTAATATAGTTTACCAACTATCATCATACCAACTATGTAATAATATAGTTGGTAAATATCACTGTATATGCTTCGGCAAACTCGGTATGGTTCTTATTCGATCACCGTATGGTTCTAGTATCGATACTTAGTTAGATTTTGGAATCCTTTTAAAAGTATCGATAACTTAAGGTAAGTTAAATAAGTGTTGTTACTCTTAAACGCCTAAACAACTGAACCCATCTTAATGGAAATAAATATAGTAAATAGACCTAACTTTAAGAAAGAACATAGAAAGGCTACATTTTATCGCGAAAAATAGGGGATGATAGTTTGCCTAGAAATTTGTCATTATCATAATTTTTTTAGACAATAGATAAATATTTGTTAACAGAAGTAATAATAAAGAATAAACAGAAGATTAAGAGAAGTAATTAAGTGACACTCAATGTCTTTTTCGCATTTAATAAAATTTGAAATGACTGTTTGTGTCATAAGCAAAATTTAAAAAAAAAAGAAGTATTCTAAGGGAAAAATATTTCTGCTCAAAGAAACTACACCACGCGTATAAAATTATATATAATACAGTCGACTGATCTTGTAAAGTTCATTTAGCATATTAATTCTCCGCTTACACGACACTAATTTCGATTTGTTTACGAAATGGCGCCATCGATTGGTCTCTCTCTTATCGCTTAAAGTTGTTTTTACAAAACTTCGAAAAACAATAGCACGTTTATAAATTTAAATATCAAGTATTAGACCATTATCAGAAATTTTATTCTGATGTCACAGATATTTTTAGCTACTGTATGTGAATAATGCTGTTCCTAAATTAGTAAGGGTATATGTTTTTACATCTGATAGTAGTCATCCAATATTATACGTAGTAAAAAAAATGCTTTCGTCTTGCCATAATTTATTATGGTTTATGTAAAATGATCAGGTAATTATTTAGGTACTATGGCGACTTATGGCAACTTATGGCTAATGGTGGAGGTGGGTGGCGCAATGAAAAAACTGGTAGAATTTTCAAGGAGTATTACAATTTAATCACTTACAACCAAATATTATGATGCTCACTCTAAGCTGGTCTCGATCAGAAAGAAAGACTATTTACCAGCAAAACACGAACACGCGAATTTGAATAAGAAAAAGTAATAATTTAAAATATTAACGGCTAGCACTTGACCATAAACCGTCCGAAGAGTAAACCCTAACTATAGTAATGTGCTCGGACGTTACAGTACCTTTCTACGTCTTCGAACGCAATTACCGACGTTCCAAATCTCATCGTACCTAGTATAAGTGACGTGTAGCTTCAAAGAGAGTTGCCCTACATTGCGTCGCTCCGATCAGGAAAAAAACGGATAAGTGCACAAGCTACTCATCCGGGTTTTTATGTCATTCCGGACCGGAAAAAATCGGTTCGGCGGACCTGAAAATTCAGTGTAGTGCACAAGCGCCCATAGTAATGAATAACGCTCGCGCCTGCGCGGAGGCAGCGAGGTTATAAATATAAGCGGCTGTGTGTTCCGCAGCATTCCGCTCTCAGCTTTCGTTGCGCGCCCCCGTGCGCGTACACGACTCTCTTCTACCCAAACTGTGAATACATCTCGTGCCTTCTGCACACCCCGAGCGCAGACCCTGATGCTTTTGTTTTTCTCAAAACATTAAAACAGTAGGACTTGACTCACTTTCAACTTCTTGAGTCCGTGGATACCATACGGTGGTAACTAAGCCGGCTGAGCGACCCCGGTCTGCTCGCTAAGTCCCCTCAGGCTTTAGCAATACCGAAGACCCGATCCCAGTGCACTTGGGCGTTGTCCCAAGGGTGACGGTTTGCCGTTAACTCCATTAGGGATAGCCGCATTTTCCGCGTCCCCCTTCCCCTCTCACTCCGGCGCGGGGTTGGTTTTTTTGTGCGGACGCTTCCTCGGACAACGTCGCTCCCAAGCCCCGCACATCGGGCGGTGTGTCCTCGGTAAGCAAGACCGCCGAGAAAACCTCCCTCGGCCCATACCTTACCAGAGGCAACACCGGCAAGAAAGCCATTCGGGAAAATACTCCTAGTATTACTCCCTCCCTCACCCCGCTGCGGCCGCATAATAATTGCGCTCTGCAGCCGGGTAAACCCAAACCCCCGCCTCCCGTATTTATACGGGACAAATCAAAGTGGGCAGAGGTCTCGAATCTCTGCACATCCATCAAAATAAACTACACCCATACCAAAAACATGGGTATAGCTATCCGGGTGGAAACACCCACTAGTGAGGACTATAGAGTCCTCACTAGACTTCTAACCCACCACAAGGTGGGTTACCATACCTACGCTCTCCCAGAGGAGCGTAAAGTTCGTGCGGTTCTGAGAAATAAAATGCATAGTAGAGCCGGCAGGCCTTTCCCTCTGGCTCTACTCATCATTCCAAATGTTCCTAATGCTCGTGACATTTTCAAGGCTAAAGACCTTAGGGTCTGCGGCCTTACCGGGGTTAAAGTAGAACCCCCTCACCGACGTGGTACCCCGGGACAGTGCCACCGATGCCAGCTTTACGGGCATGCGGCGGCCAACTGTTCTGCGACTCCGAGATGCGTAAAGTGCCTCGAGTCACATCCCACAAAGGAGTGCTCTCGAACTCGAGACACTCTCACCCCTCCGGCCTGTGTACTGTGTGGCCAAATCAGCCACACAGCCAACTATAAAGGTTGCCCACGAGCGCCGAAGCCCAAACCCTCTTCTAAGAAGAAGGGTAAGGGCCCGGCGGTCAACAAAGCACCAAAAGCCCCCCCTTCCCCAAGCCCACTGCGGCGAACTTCCCCGCCTCACCAAAGGCGAATCACTCCGCTCCTAAATCGGCTTCACAACCAATATGCCCCCCTACCTTAAACCCTCTCAGACGAAGCCCTCAACAAAGGCTTCTGGCTTCTTGAATCGTGGAATCGACTTAAATGAAATCTCCACCATAGCGGCTAAGCTCCGCCGTGCTTCGTCCACGCAGGAACGCCTTCTGGCGCTTTGCGAACACGAAGCGTTATTAGGTGCCTTATCATAAGCACTAATAACATGTTAGGTTTTCCAAACCTAGCGTGCTCATCTCTTTCGCTGCTAGTGAGAGGTACACCAAAGCGGTGTGTTTGGCGGCCGAGCCGTACACCCAGACCGGGGCCACAGAGGAAATCCCCTTACCTGCGAAACGCAGGTCGACTCCCCATGTACCTCTCACTAGCAGCGACACAGGCGCACCCGGCAGACGTAACTCTGCCAGGGAACCAGTCGACTACTAGCCGCTCCTAGGCTAGGGAGGTCCTCAGCCGGCACCGCACGAGTACCACGGGGCACGGGAACCGTCCGTGCCCGTACGGAAGGTGGGGAGCACTTCTTGCTCCCCATCACGTGTCCGCTCGGCAAGGATGCAGCAGCACACACTGCGCATCGCGCCTTTTCACGGCAACACGCCGCCTTGTGCCCCTCGAGGCCGCACCTGAAGCAAACTCCAGAACGGTCCTCCTTAGAGGGGCACACCCTCCGCACGTGTCCCGTGCATGGGTACGGGACACGTGCGGAGGGTGTGTAAGGAATCCAGGCGTCGAATTCGGGCAGAAGTCCACCCCACCAACAACCTCCCTCTCTCAGCCAGCAACTCAGCTGCCGCCACGGGGCACTTAAGTAGTGCCATGTTAAGGCCCCCTTTGCCTCTACTAATAGGCCCCAGAACAACAAGTTTCGGGGGCAGTTACCTTGCCTCGCTATTTCCGCTCTTAATTCGTCAGAGGTGACCGATTCATCCAACTCAGTCACCCTCATATCAGCTCTTTTGGTTGGCGTCGAAACGGTGATTGAGCCACCAAACATCTCCTTCAGGCCGGAGCCAAGACGGCCCGCCTGCTCTCCGCTATCCGCGCCTGGTACCTTTAGTATTCTCGCACCAGTAGCGGTAACCCCCATTACGACCCCTCCCGATATGCCCAATTCCGGAAGGGCGATTTCTCTCCCGGCCTTGGAGAGTACTTCCTCGTAAGTCACCCCTTCGGACTCAGCCTCAGGGGTGATAGTGACGACCACAGCAGTGGTGTTGGGGGCTGCTGTTTTCTGTCGCCCTCTCTTTTTGTTGGTGGGGGGGCTTCATTGCTACCGCCAGCAAAGGAATCTCACCGACCTCCACATTCCTCTCCTTACCCCCTCTTCCCTTTCTCCTCCCTTCCTTGACTCCTCTCTTGGTTACCTCGGCCCAGCTCGTCCTCAAAGCCGGTTCGCTAGGAGTCACAGACTTTGGTTGAGGGCCCGAGTCCTTTGTCGAACTCCCCCTTCCCCGGGGAGCACCCGGTAGAAAGGCGGGAGTCTGCGTCCCAGCAACTCTGAACCTATCCGATGCCAGTGGTGGGCGGAGAGGTGGGCGCAGCGGATTGCGCCATGCCTCTTCCGACTGGCAACAAGCCTCTTTACTCTTAGGTTTGTCAAAGTCCGTCTGACAACACGACTCCGTATTCGTCCTCATTGCTCGGCTCTTCTCCCTTTCTTTCAGCCCATTTAGTTCCTCCTCCATGCTATCGAGCTCCTCCCTCAGTTTGTCCCTTTGTTTAAACAAACTGCCAATAACGCCGCGGCCATGCACCAGCGCACCAATCATCACATCCCAACTTGTGTCAACTGTCTTAGCAAACTTTGCCGCTTCATTATAATCCTCCAATCCTATCCTAACTTTCCTATTCATTATTTCCAGACGATAGCTCGAGTTATCATAGCTATCCCATATCGCCCTCCAGGTAGCTTCAGCCTCCATAAGCAAACCCTTCATGCCCTCGGGAGTAAATCTCAGCTCTTCCTTCTCATTCCTCCTGCCAAAACCTTCCTCGACCGGAAGTTTCTCCTCCTTTGTGCTAGACTCTACGTTCTTTATGGGTACTACAGAACCGTCGCTAGAACTATCCGACACCTTCTCCGAACCAGTCTTTTCAACACGAGTGTTACTACGACTGCGATTTCGCACTCTTTCACCCGAACCTAACGGCTTCTCACGACTAACAAATCGTCCCTTATCGTCCCTATGTACACTCCTCTTAACTCCGCCTGAGCTAGGCCCCCTCACATTGGAAGTTTTTTTATTAAGTTTTAAATTCTCCATGTCATATCCCACGAGTAACAAGCTCCAACTGTCCACTCGATCAAAGGCTTGAATTGATTGAGCAAGCCTAGGTTTGTGAAGGCAGGCGTCGGCCGTTCCCTGCCTCCAGAGGACCTGTAGCGACCCCATTACCAGGGGCCACTCACCCCCTAACCCAGATCTAGCGTGGGGTTGGTCGTTTCTTATCGTGGTTTCGTCCACACAAAGCCGTCCGGCGAAGGAGAGCTTCCCCGGCTCCGCTCAGCGCGGAGGTACGGGTCAGCCGGTGGTTGTCCTGAAAAGGACGCCTGTTACTCATGACCACCACAAGACAACAGGCCCACCGCCCTCGCTGGCACGGCCGCTACTCAGGCTACTCCCGAGGCGCCCGTCCAGCCCGAACCGCGCCGCCGCTTCTCGTCTTACCGACGAGGCGCCGGCCCGGAGCCCTTACAAGACTCCCTCTAAAAGAGGGAAACCCCCAGAACGCGACTCAGAAAAGAGTCTTACCTCCCTCCTAAGCACGCTCGCCCTCACGACGACCCTAGAAGGGCCAACACGACCCCCTCCGAAGAGGGGTCGAACCCACCTCCTCCCTGCCCGTCAGCCGCTACCCGGAATAAGTCCAGGACGCCTGACGGGCTCCTCACTGTGCAGGGTAACAAAGGGCCACCGCCTGCGGACGTGACAACTTGTCCCCCGGCTGGTACACCTGCTTTGATATTTTATGATACAGAAACTATCGCAGCGTCGAACACAGAGGTAATTTAACAAAAAATAAATTATAACCTTTTGAAGTAGGTTTTGTTTGATCGAACCTCTAATTCAGACGCAGCGCTGAGTTCCACGTTTTGTTTATAACAGAATATCACTGCTGGTCCTACTGAACACGTGACCATTGATTTTTTGATGAAGCTGAAGCTCTTTGGCTATTGATGTAGAAAGATGAAGACATGCCCCAAATAATTGGTGAATACCTCCCCATTCTTGTTTTACAGAATTTGTCTTTAAGCAATTTATATGAAAAGAACATGAAGGGCGAAAATCAGTGTATCATACGTAGACAGTTCCAATGAAGTTTGAATCCAAGGTTTGGGGATTTCAGCAATTGAAAATACTCACATCTCCAGTAACGTATTTTAATTCTTTTCTCAACTGTCGACTACAAATCTTTACCGCGAATATAAATTAAAAATTTCAATACTCTTTAAGACTTGACATTATATATCAAAGCTCGTTTATTCCTCATATTCGAATACATTTCCTTTTCATCCTTCCCAATTCTATGTAGTCAGTATACAAAACGTTTTAGTACCTAATTGTTTATTAACTTGTTACAGAAACGACTCGGATTTCCAAGGACGAAAATGTTTACAGGTAACTACGACTATTGGAACAATTATGTTCAGTAAGGACTCGGTGATTGTAAACTGTTTGCTTGTGCGGATTGGTGATGTAACCAGCTTACAGGACCACACGTTCCGACAGTTCAGAGCAGAGCCGATGATTTGTATAAATAATTCCGGTTCTTTGGCAGCAACTGGCCAATCAAATTACTTCACTTTGTTAGTTGATTGCACGGTTACATGGAGTGATGCGTTCAAGGACATGGCAATATTGAATGGAGAATACCTGTTTTTAGTGAAATATTCCATATATTTTTTTTAATATTTATAAACTTTGTAGCACATGTATGGTGTTGAAAAATAATACTATCTACTTAGAAAACATATTTTTATTGCTTGATGTATTTTAGTAACATCAAGT